CTCAGGTAGCCTCCTCCGGCTAAGTCCAATGGATCCTCTTCTCCCTCAGGTAGCCTCTGGCTAAGTCCAATGGATCCTCTTCTCCCTCAGGTAGCCTCTTCAGCTAAGTCCAGTGGATCGTCTTCTCCCTCAGGTAGCCTCCTCTGGGTAAGTCCAATGGATCACCTTCCTCAGGAAGTCCGTTCGACAAAGTCGCTAAAATAAAGACCCAGCCTCAGTGAGTCCGTTCGACAAAGTCAACTGGAACGTGTTCTCCCTCAGGTAGCCTCTTCCGGCTTAGTCCAGTGGATCCTCTTCTCCCTCAGGTAACCTCCTCCGGCTAAGTCCAATGGAACGTCTTCTCCCTCAGGTAGCCTCCTCCAGCTAAGTCCAATGGATCACCTTCCTCAGGAAGTCCGTTCGACAAAGTCGCTAAAATAAAGACCCAGCCTCAGTGAGTCCGTTCGACAAAGTCAACGTCTTCAGTGAGGAAGTTTCACAATAAATTATCTAAGTCAAACTTCAAATAGAACAAAGTCGAAGAATATTTCAAAGTGTGAGTAAGAAATATTCTAAGTCCAAGTTAGTATAAACGACTAAAATGTATAAGTCCAACTCCAGGTAGATGTACCACAGAACAAAGTCAAAGAATATTTCGAAGTGCCAGTAAGAAATGTTCTAAGTCCAAGTTAGCATCCACAGCAAAATATACAAGTCCAACTTCAGGTAGATGTATCACAGAACAAAGTCAAAGAATATTAAAAATGATTAAAATATTCTAAGTCCAAGTTATCATCCACAGAAAAATGTACAAGTCCAACTCCAGGTAGATGTACCACAGAACAAAGTCAAAGAATATTAAAAATGATTAAAATATTCTAAGTCCAAGTTAGCATCTACAGAAAAATGTACAAGTCCAACTCCAGGTAGATGTACCACAGAACAAAGTCAAAGAATATTAAAAATGATTAAAATATTCTAAGTCCAAGTTATCATCTACAGATAAAATGCATAAGTCCAACAAAATTGATTTTTGTCAAAGTTTAACCTCAAGTAGATTCGTCTACAGCCAGGTACATGTGAACAGAAACAAAGTCAAAGAATATTCCCAAGTGCCAGTCAGAAATGTTCTAAGTCGAAGTTATCATGTACAGAAAATGTCAAAGTCCAACAAAATCAAAATTGTCAGAAATCACAAAATATTTCGAACGGAGCTCTGTCCCAGTCAAAAGCTAAATCAAGTCTCTCTCGAGTGTCAACTTTCTCAGCTTATATACTCTAGGAGGTTGCCCGGATGACGTACTCGCGCAATACAAAATATTGGCGCAAACTGATTAACCAAATGTTTAAATTACGATTACGGGCCTACAGACGTGAAAATAACTCACAAATATGGTTGGTAATTGCGAGTTAATTATACAGATAAGAAATATGATGATAAAGTGTGGAAATACATTCACAATAGGTGGCTAGAGCAAGTTATTTAATGGAACAGGAAATAAAATGACCGCCGAAATGGCAGACGAGATTGAATTGACATTTCAAATTCACGACCAAATATCTTGAAAACTAAACATTATTGCTACCCCTAATTTACAGAAATGATCGCTAATATTGTTATCTATCTAAATAAATCTAAATTAATAATTCAAATGGACTAACTAACCTGTATTTTTGCGATAAGTACGGAGCTTGAAGATTCGAAGTTGTGGCGTAGTGAAATTACTCTAAATGAGCACTAATTTGCGGAACGAAATTACAAGATCGCAATAATGGACGTGAAACGAAATTACTTACTAAAATATAATTTGATCGCTAGCCACCTACTTTAACATTGTAAAAGGTCACAAATAAATATAATTATCACCAAAGGACCAGGTAAAATAAGGGAACAAGTGAAGTTGTTGTATTTAATGGCCATAATCTTTAGACTATCCAAATGGAAAACTATAATAATTTTTAAAAAAAAAATATTTTGTTACAGTATTTTTTGTGGTGCATAATTTATATAGTACAAATGCATACTAATTTAGAATCTAAATTACTTTCTCCAAAGAAATAAATATTGGTAATTACTCTGCATAAAGGTATGTGTCAAACCTGAGGCCCAGGGATACATTAAAAATGTTTAAAAAGTCCGCTAGTGTACTGAGTTGTTAATGCATGGTGTATGCATGTACATGTATATAATCTTTTACTATATTTAGATTTCTTACATGGATAAGAATAAGACTGATTTTTTTTATTAATGACAATATACCCGGGCCTCAGTGTCAAACCATAGGTTTTGGGTCAATTTAAAGATGGCAGCACCAGAATCTTTTTCAAATTATAGATTGTTTACCATGCCATCTTTATTTAGAAAGTTCTTTGGACCTCAGCCTATGTGTCAAACCTTTTGGCCCATTGACATTTTATATTATGTCTCATATTCGGCTTCAGATCTATTCAAACACTTTTTGTAGCCCAGATGTCAGTTGGCATGTCTGACCCTAACTTGTTTTCAATTATTTCTCTTATTTTGGTTTCAGTATTGGTTTTGTATTAAGTTGATTTTGTGTTCAAGTTGCAAATCAAATGCTACTCATGTCAAATTAACTTTTACAGTTATGTGTATTTGTACACAAAATTTATTTCATACTTTGTTATAATTATGACTTATCTTTAACTTTTAATTGACATATGGGTTTGAAATCCATTAACAAAATAAACATTTGTCATAAAATTACAATGAAGCAATTTATTTACCCAAAATGCCAATAACATTCAAACCTGTTCACTTGTAAACAATATGTTGTATACCGTACATGTATCTTTAAGGCAGGTGTGATTCATATTACCAGGGCTGTCAACTTGGGACCACCTAATATGAGTGACTTCAAAATGTTGGACACCTAAGTCCAAATCTGAACACTTTTATCCAAATTTTGAACACCTTTGGCCAACTTTTAAACACCTTTGGCCAAAGTTTGAGCACCTTTGCCAAACTTTGAACACCTCAAATTTTTCGCGCTCGCTACGCTCGCGTTGTCGTCAACGGGGGGGGGGGGGGGGGGGTAGGTACCAAAAATTTCCAATGAACATGCGTGACACATACGGGATTCGCGTGACAAATCCGAACAAATTGCGTTCGGTTTTTTCCGGCGTTCGTATTTTTACCGTATCGTAAACATATTTCGAAAAAATTTCTACAGAGATATTTTTGCGTGACAATTACCAGGTAAAATGCGTATTTTGCGTGACATTATCTGTCACGCAAAAAAAACTGGCGTGAATTCAAATTCTTCAGCAAATGCGTGACAAATACGCAAATTGCGGGACAGTTGACAGGCCTGTATTACAGACAGCTCAGCTCCAGCTCTAAGCAAACTTTAAGGTCAGACTGCACTTTCTACCATTTTGATGACCTTGTGCTTTTCTCAGATCAAGGACGTCCTTGCTCAGATGAACATTACTCATTCCAAACACAACCTAAATCTTTCAATTTTTCATAAAAGGTGCTGTATACTGTACCCAGAATTATTAATTGAGTGTTAATTTTTCTAACTATAAATAACTTGAAAATCGAGCAGTCTTTTTTTCAATTAAACTTGCAAAAAATTCTCATCATACAGATTTGCCTATTGCAGTACCCTGAGTTTAGTTCGAAACTACTAACTTAGAAATAAAACTATCTGTCAAGCAGCTAAGTCGAATTGAATGCAAAGGGCAGTGAATTCAACATTTTTTTATTCATAGAATTTAATTTACAAATACATAAAATACATAAACATTATACACTTTTAGTGTCTTTGCTGAAGGCATTATCAGCCACTTTAATTCAACATTGTTAAGTACATGTACTAAAATATACTATTACCTCATACATATGCTCTTAGAACTTACCTGATTATGGTGTTTTGATGCCCTCTTGAACTCTTGACTCCTTATATTGATTGAAACCACATATGAAACCTGGACAGTGTAAACAGTAAAGGGGATTCTCCTTAGTTTCAGATAAGTGTTTCATAAACGACATTAACATAAGCAACAGGTTGCAGGCAGCTTTCACTGGCTGTTTTTACAAATATTGAAACAATTTCAATTCTTTTGAGGAACTTTGTAAGGGGGGGGGGGGCTGTAACTGCTTAAAGTTTTTAAAATTGTTTAGTCAAAGAATCGTCAATGAGTTGGTTTTCATTTATCTTTTCCCTTCAGAGGAATTCTAGTCACCAAACTTAATATCTAGGACATGTCTGATGTAATTTAATTTGTTGCAAGGGTAAATTTAATTAATTGAAAGGTCATTTTAAAGCCCTGATACATTTTTAATTCCAAATTTAAAGGTCCTAATTCATTTATCTTTGGATTTGTTTTTCTTCTAAAACAGAGGATATAACTCTCAATAATAAACATTTTCGTTTTCAAGATTATTTAAAAAAAACATTGAGTTTATGTTATGAAAAACAAGACTGTAGGTATAAGTGACATTTTATGCTTGGTGTACTACCTGGTGTCAAAGTCCTATTTCCTGAATGATGTAAAATTCTGCATATTTGTCAGGGCAAAAAGCACTTTTTAAATTTATCCAGCACAAATCCAGTTATTAAATAACAATGCATGCTGGCCTATGACCTCTCTTGTTTATTATTACAGAAGGGGAGGTGTATAGCTGGGGACATAATGGCTATTGTCAGCTTGGTAATGGTAGCACCAACCAATGTACAACACCAAGTCCTATTACAATGCATGCTGGTCTATGACCTCTCTTGTTTATTATTACAGAAGGGGAGGTGTATAGCTGGGGACATAATGGCTATTGTCAGCTTGGTAATGGTAGCACCAACCAATGTACAACACCAAGTCCTATTACAATGCATGCTGGTCTATGACCTCTCTTGTTTATTATTACAGAAGGGGAGGTGTATAGCTGGGGACATAATGGCTATTGTCAGCTTGGTAATGGTAGCACCAACCAATGTAGAACACCAAGTTATGTTACAAGGCATGCTGGTCAATGACCTCTCTTGTGTATTATTCCAGAAGGGGAGGTGTATAGCTGGGGACATAATGGCTATTGTCAGCTTGGTAATGGTAGCACCAACCAATGTACAACACCAACTCATGTTACAACCAACTTACAAGGCAAAGTGGTTGTTCAAGTGGCTTGTGGGAGTCACCATTCCTTGGCTTTAACAAGTGAAGGAGAGGTAAAGCACTTTTAATTGAATGTTATTTTTGTGTACACAAATAGAGTCTGACAGTAAGACCTGTATATATACACATTTCTCTTATCTAAACATCTCTCTTATCTGAACATTTCTATTATCTGAACATCTCTCTTATCTGAACATTTCTCGTATATGAACATCCTTCTTATCTGAACATCTCTCTTATCTGAACATTTCTCTTATCTGAACATTCTCTAATCTGAAAATTTCTCTTATCTGAACATTTCTCTTATCTGAGCATTTCTCTTATATCTGAACAACTCTCTTATCTAAACATCTCTCTCATCTGAACATTTCTCTTATCTGAACACCTCTCAATATGAACACTTTGTGTTGGTCACAATTTTGTTATCTCCCATTGACTCACATATTAAGAAACCTTAAAATGTGAACACTTGCTAATCTGAACACTTTTGGCTTGTTCCAGTGATGTTTGGATAAGACAGGACATTACCTACATCATATTTTTATTCTCATAGAAATAGGTTATTATTAATTTGTCTATGTTATTACAATACTGCATTGTTACACTATGAAAATATTTCTTTTAGGTTTTTGCCTGGGGACAGAATAATTGTGGCCAGGTTGGATCTGGCTCAACCACAAATCAACCTGCCCCCCGTAAAGTAACAGCCTGTCTGGGAGGGAAGAAGGCTGTTAGAATAGCTTGTGGGCAGACGTCATCCATGTGTGTTTTGGAGAATGGGGATGTAAGGACCTTTATTATGTCACCAGAAGTTGTGAACAGAAGTTGTAATATATTCTTACCATCTCCAACTTTTTGTTGACAATGTTCTGTGGTTGGTGTTTTGTGGCTAGTGTTCAGAGGGCAGTGTCTGTAACAAATGGCAGGTGGTGATATTTTGCATTTAAATGCATTGTTTGAAAATACTACCCACAAAACCTAAAAATTAGATAAAACCTTTTTCATTTTAAGTTTATTAAAGTTTCAATTACTTCTTGTAAAATTATCATCAACACCTGAATTTTGTGTCTACCCTGTAGGTATATGGCTGGGGATACAACAGAAATGGTCAATTAGGATTAGGAAATGATGTCAACCAGCCAAATCCAGTCAAAGTGCAGGGCCTCACTGGTGTATTTATCATTTCTTGTAGGTATATGGCTGGGGATACAACGGAAATGGTCAGTTAGGATTAGGAAATAATGTCAACCAGCCAAATCCAGTCAAAGTGCAGGGCCTCACTGGTGTATTTATCATTTCTTGTAGGTATATGGCTGGGGATACAACGGAAATGGTCAGTTAGGATTAGGGAACAATGTCAACCAGCCAAATCCAGTCAAAGTGCAGGGCCTCACTGGTGTATTTATCATTTCTTGTAGGTATATGGCTGGGGATACAACGGAAATGGTCAGTTAGGATTAGGAAATAATGTCAACCAGCCAAATCCAGTCAAAGTGCAGGGCCTCACTGGTGTATTTATCATTTCTTGTAGGTATATGGCTGGGGATACAACGGAAATGGTCAGTTAGGATTAGGGAACAATGTCAACCAGCCAAATCCAGTCAAAGTGCAGGGCCTCACTGGTGTATTTATCATTTCTTGTAGGTATATGACTGGGGATACAACGGAAATGGTCAGTTAGGATTAGGAAATAATGTCAACCAGCCAAATCCAGTCAAATTGCAGGGCCTCACTGGTGTATTTATCATTTCTTGTAGGTATATGGCTGGGGATACAACGGAAATGGTCAGTTAGGATTAGGGAACAATGTCAACCAGCCAAATCCAGTCAAAGTGCAGGGCCTCACTGGTGTATTTATCATTTCTTGTAGGTATATGGCTGGGGATACAACGGAAATGGTCAGTTAGGATTAGGGAACAATGTCAACCAGCCAAATCCAGTCAAAGTGCAGGGCCTCACTGGTGTATTTATCATTTCTTGTAGGTATATGGCTGGGGATACAACGGAAATGGTCAATTAGGATTAGGAAATGATGTCAACCAGCCAAATCCAGTCAAAGTGCAGGGCCTCACTGGTGTATTTATCATTTCTTATAGGTATATGGCTGGGGATACAACGGAAATGGTCAGTTAGGATTAGGGAACAATGTCAACCAGCCAAATCCAGTCAAAGTGCAGGGCCTCACTGGTGTATTTATCATTTCTTGTAGGTATATGGCTGGGGATACAACGGAAATGGTCAGTTAGGATTAGGAAATAATGTCAACCAGCCAAATCCAGTCAAAGTGCAGGGCCTCACTGGTGTATTTATCATTTCTTGTAGGTATATGGCTGGGGATACAATGGAAATGGTCAGTTAGGATTAGGGAACAATGTCAACCAGCCAAATCCAGTCAAAGTGCAGGGCCTCACTGGTGTATTTATCATTTCTTGTAGGTATATGGCTGGGGATACAACGGAAATGGTCAGTTAGGATTAGGGAACAATGTCAACCAGCCAAATCCAGTCAAAGTGCAGGGCCTCACTGGTGTATTTATCATTTCTTGTAGGTATATGGCTGGGGATACAACGGAAATGGTCAATTAGGATTAGGAAATGATGTCAACCAGCCAAATCCAGTCAAAGTGCAGGGCCTCACTGGTGTATTTATCATTTCTTGTAGGTATATGGCTGGGGATACAACGGAAATGGTCAGTTAGGATTAGGGAACAATGTCAACCAGCCAAATCCAGTCAAAGTGCAGGGCCTCACTGGTGTATTTATCATTTCTAGTAGGTATATGGCTGGGGATACAACGGAAATGGTCAATTAGGATTAGGAAATGATGTCAACCAGCCAAATCCAGTCAAAGTGCAGGGCCTCACTGGTGTATTTATCATTTCTTGTAGGTATATGGCTGGGGATACAATGGAAATGGTCAGTTAGGATTAGGGAACAATGTCAACCAGCCAAATCCAGTCAAAGTGCAGGGCCTCACTGGTGTATTTATCATTTCTTGTAGGTATATGGCTGGGGATACAACGGAAATGGTCAATTAGGATTAGGGAACAATGTCAACCAGCCAAATCCAGTCAAAGTGCAGGGCCTCACTGGTGTATTTATCATTTCTTGTAGGTATATGGCTGGGGATACAATGGAAATGGTCAGTTAGGATTAGGGAACAATGTCAACCAGCCAAATCCAGTCAAATTGCAGGGCCTCACTAGTGTATTTATCATTTCTTGTAGGTATATGGCTGGGGATACAACGGAAATGGTCAGTTAGGATTAGGGAACAATGTCAACCAGCCAAATCCAGTCAAAGTGCAGGGCCTCACTGGTGTATTTATCATTTCTTGTAGGTATATGGCTGGGGATACAACGGAAATGGTCAGTTAGGATTAGGGAACAATGTCAACCAGGCAAATCCAGTCAAAGTGCAGGGCCTCACTGGTGTATTTATCATTTCTTGTAGGTATATGGCTGGGGATACAACGGAAATGGTCAGTTAGGATTAGGGAACAATGTCAACCAGCCAAATCCAGTCAAAGTGCAGGGCCTCACTGGTGTATTTATCATTTCTTGTAGGTATATGGCTGGGGATACAACGGAAATGGTCAATTAGGATTAGGGAACAATGTCAACCAGCCAAATCCAGTCAAAGTGCAGGGCCTCACTGGTGTATTTATCATTTCTTGTAGGTATATGGCTGGGGATACAATGGAAATGGTCAGTTAGGATTAGGGAACAATGTCAACCAGCCAAATCCAGTCAAATTGCAGGGCCTCACTAGTGTATTTATCATTTCTTGTAGGTATATGGCTGGGGATACAACGGAAATGGTCAGTTAGGATTAGGGAACAATGTCAACCAGCCAAATCCAGTCAAAGTGCAGGGCCTCACTGGTGTATTTATCATTTCTTGTAGGTATATGGCTGGGGATACAACGGAAATGGTCAGTTAGGATTAGGGAACAATGTCAACCAGCCAATTCCAGTCAAAGTGCAGGGCCTCACTGGTGTATTTATCATTTCTTGTAGGTATATGGCTGGGGATACAATGGAAATGGTCAGTTAGGATTAGGAAATAATGTCAACCAGCCAAATCCAGTGAAAGTCCAGGGCCTCACTGGTGTATTTATCATATCTGTAAGTATACTCAATAAGCATTAAATCGATGCCTTTAATGATTTGCTTATGCCTATTGTGTTACCCTTAATTCATTTTCTGTTTTTGCTACCTTGGGTAAATTTCTCACATTTTGAGATTTTAAGATTGTAACGCAGTTGAGCAGTTTTCGCTTGTATTATAACCAGACACAGCGTATAGACAAAGATAGAGAATACTGGCTCAATTTGCAACTTCACTTTAGCCTGTATCGCTTTTAAACATGGTCATGCGGTAGGGTAGAGTGTCTATATGTCTGGGGTACAAATGCCTGGTTATAGAGAACATGTATTTAAAAATTGTTTATGATTTAAAGGTTGATGAGGGACCCTATATGCCTGGGGCACAAATGCCTAGTTAGAACATGTGTTTAAAGGTTGTGTGTGATTTAAAGGTTGTATGTGGTTATGCCCATACTATAGCTCTATCAGATGATGGAACCCTATATGCCTGGGACACAAATGCCTATTTAGAACATGTGTTTAAAGGTTGTGTGTGGTTTAAAGGTTGTTTGTGGTTATGCCCATACTATGGCTCTATCTGATGAGGGAACCCTATATGCCTGGGGCACAAATGCTTATGGTCAGCTTGGCACTGGAAACAAGGCCAATCAAGTGGCACCTGTTACTATAGCAACTGAAAAAGAAAGGTAATTTCTAAATAATTTTTCAGGACTACAAAAATATTTAAAAGTAACTTCCAAATAATTTTTCAGGACTACAAAATACTTATCCAAGAATTGAAAAACAGTAAATTACAAAAAAGATTAAACTTTACTGTTAAACTTGGTTATAGTGAACACCTATGCAGCCACAAAAAGTGTTCACTGTAGGTATGTTTTCACTACAGAGGGTATTTTATACAGGAGTCAATGTAAAATGAAGTTGTGTTCACTAAACACAGGTGTTCACTAGAGAGAGGTGATCTCAAATACAGGTTTTACTGTACATCGTACAAACAGTACCTGCTACTAAATTTAAGTCAGGAAATAAAATCATATTTGTAAAAGGACCTTATACACCCTCCATTGGGATCTCCCCATGGGGAAAAAATAATTCATCTGATTTTTCAAAATGAGTATTCTGCTTCAATTATTACATTTATATGCACACTAGTATCTTGTTGACCTATATTAGGGTCATAATTCAATCATGAAGTGTAGAGGCATAGATTCCAAACAAGGAAGTATTTTTGTGTCTGTCAAAATCCATTTACATCCTACGCATCCCTGCATCTTATCCAAATATGTTACTACATAATGAAATATAATAGTATAATCTTTGGTTTTACAAACTTGTATGATATTTGATAAGTGTAAAAGTTGTTTTTGGAGCATTTTTCTATAGCCATTTTGTAGGAAAAAAAATGATGAAAAAATGTACAATCTTTTAATTTTAAGTATGACCTGAATCGATTGCAAACTTCATATTTGCACATTTGATGAGATAAACCATTTGTATCGTATTGTGAAATTATTAAGTTTGCAATCGATTCAGGTCATAGTGTATTTTTGGTATTTCTGTGATAATCAATGGAAACCAATGGCCTCTATTGGGATCTGCTGATATCCTCATGTTAAGTCAATGGTGCACAGCCCCGTGTAAGTCAATACAACCTTACTGAACGAAATGATCCATATCTCAGCTTATGTGTGTCCGAGCACTTTAATATTTTCCAAAGTATTATATGACATTTTATTCTTCATGTTACACCTACGAATGATTCATTTTGACCATAGGGATATTTGCCAATAATTGCACCTTGTCCTTTAATCAAATGTGTTGCCCCTTTTTGTGCTCTGTTATTAGATGGTATTTTTCAATAGCCGAATTAATTCAAAATAAAAGTAAATCAATCATAAGATATACAGTAAAACCTGTCTAAGTGGAACACCTTTTGTACTACTAAAAATGTTCAATTTGGGAGGTGTTCCACTTATAGAGGTCTATATAGTCGGTCTTGGGACTCTGAAAAGTGTTCTACTAACAGAGGTATTCCAATTCTAGAGGTGTTACTTGTTACAGGTTTCATTGTATTTGTGATTCATTTTTGTCTAAGTGGAACACCTTTGGTAACACTAAAAATGTCCAATGCAGGAGGTGTTCCACTTATTGAGGTTCATTTAACATGAGGTTGGTTGTTCTTGGGACTCTGAAAAGTGTTCTACTAATAGAGGTATTCCGTACAGGTTTCCCTGTTTACATGATGTTATTAATTTTTCCTTCCAGATTTGTTGAAGTAGGTGCTTCACACTATAACCATATATCATGTGGGATTACACAAAAGGGGAAGGTTTACATGTGGGGTCAATGTCGGGGTCAGTCCATTACATTACCCATGGCGACACCTTTTCACAGTCTCCATGACGTCTTTGCAGCTTTTGGATCACCAGCCGTCACTTGGACTCCATTGAAAATAGGTAAAAACAAGTTTGACTAAATTGCTAATGAAATTAAACTTAAATTAATCTCAACGGGTTCATGTGATGTTTATTGTCAAAATGAATATATCTCATATGTGTTTGCACTATTGGACACTTATATATGAAATTTCACCCAGCTCTCATTTTTAATTGCATTTACAAGTGACAGCACAAAGAGCTATAGCAACCTAGTGATAAACCAGCACAAAAGAAAATTGAGACCATATATTATACAATTGTAGCACTATAATACCAAAAACTGTGTAGTAATCAAAAAACATAATGATTTATTTATTATGCTTTTTTTATTATGTGCAACGCATGTTTATAAATCGCTTATGTTTATAACTTAGACTCTCTTTTAGACATAGTTATTGGTTGGTAATCATAGTGGTATTTGGGAAGAAGTTTTTTGGGATGAATTTTTTTTACATACTTCAAATGTATTTCCATTAATCAATACAATATGTTATATATGTACAAATTGCAATAGTTAACAAGTCAGTATTATGATTATTATCGGCAGTAGTCATATTACTATCAAATCTACCTTATAAACAAGAAACGCTAAATTTCAATTCACTTATTCCTAAAAAATATAGCTATATGCATAAACATAAGATGTGCTTTCACTTATATGAGTAAAATCTTTCTTATTTTGAAACATAATTGTTTTGATTAACTTATGTTCTATGATTTCAGATCACATTGAAGGTTGCAAAACATTGGAAAGTCTGAAGAAAGCATTTGATGACCCAGTAAGTAAATTTTTGATACTTGTAATAGGAAGGGAGAAAATAGCCAGGGTGTGTGTGGGGGCAACCCCCCATAACCAATATAAATAGAACCATTATATAGGAGAAGAGCTTTGAAATGCTTTTGACTTGAAGCTTCTAGCTCAATTTTGAAGGAAGTTGCATCAATTTATGCAAAATTCAAAACAAATTAAACATTTTTTGAGTTGCTAATGCCATGATCACCCCTCCCCCCGATTGAAAGCTGGCTGCGCCCATGATTAAAATTGCCATTAGGACATCATAATATAAAATAATCCAAATTAAATAATTTTCTTTTGTTATAAGTTTATTTTCTGCCATGAAATTTTAGAAGGAATACATGTCAGTCAACTGGTCAAAATGTAACATTTCCTAAAGAATTCTTTTTACAGCAGATAGTTTTGCAACATGCTGTTACCATAGCAACTGTGTCAATTGGGCACTCATTATATTTATTCAATTTTTATGACAATGCATGTATGAATGAAATAAACTAATAAACTCAACTAAAAGAAATAAACTAATTAACTAGTTAAAAGCATTACTGGCCATTTTAAAGACAATAAATTCCCATATGTATGTATCATGATTAAAATAAAATATGCAAGAACAAACTGTTATGACGTCATAATTAATATGCAAATCACCCAATTTGCATATTTTATAAATTGTTTGATCGCTCTATCTATTATGTGTCATTTGGTTCAAATTTCATCTAAATCTGAGCAATATTGACGAAGATAAACACTGAAAAGAGCCACTAAAAGTGGGTGTGGCATATTTACTTTGTTACCATAGCAACGCTGTTACGGATTCAGAATTGACTTAATATCTCCTGATTGCATTATCTTGTACCTTCCATTTGGTGCAAATTCCATCAAAATCGGAGCAATAATGACGGAAATAGAGGCCAAACACTGAAATGAGCACTTAAAACTGGGCGTGGCATATATTTCCTGGTTACCATAGCAATGCCGTAGCGGATTCAGAATTGCCAACATCATTTTTCTTGATCAGTATCACTTCTAGTTCATGAAAACATATGTCACTTAACTTACCTCTAAAGAGGACACAGAACCTCTTATTAGGACTTTTGCTCTCAGACTATATAACATAATGATTTAACTCAAGATGTCAGGAATATTATGGATTTTGTGAAAATGACAATTTTTTCAAGAAATTGTCATGCTTTTTTGAAGATTTGAGAAGATCAAGATCATGTTCAGAAAAAATGTTAAGACGTAGCAATACTATGGGCGTAGCATGAACAATTTTTCTATGAAAAAGAAATGCTGTCTGTAAAAATTTTGAAATGAATGAGTACTTATAAACTTTGGGCCAGAAGCATGTCGTCCAGTTCTGTTTGTACAAAACAAATTTTAACTGAGAGCAGGCATGCCATTTTGACATCCATCCAATTTCTAGATAGCTGTTATGAATTTGTACATTTGGTGTATCTAGGTGTAGAAGCATTGCAGTTGAAGTATAATGGTGGTCTTTTTGATATGTCAATTTTGAAAAATCGCTATGTCAATTAAGTTTATATCCACATCTAGATTACCTACTTAGTTCAATAAAACCAAAATGTCATGTGGAATATGATTCTATTGAAATAAAGATTTTGTCTCACATTGAAAGTTCAAGAAAATTGCTCAGTAACATATTTTTTACATTATGTGTCATATTTATGAACAATAACTTTATATTGGGAACCATATAAATAAAGTCATTCTATGATAACATTTGTTTTGGTTCACCCAGTGCTCAAATGAATTTACTTTTACTTCCTAGCAAGTTTTATAAATCGTAATATGTGTTTGAATTAGAGCAGAAATAAGTTGATGATGTTCACTGCAGAGGGTTTATGAATAATATTTTGTACGTTATAGGCCAAATTCCTTTATTCAAATACATCTTTTTTATAATGAATTGTTGTTTTTGTATGATTTATGTGGCATGCAGTGTATGAAGTGACATTCACACTTGGGATCAACTGGAAAAATTCATTACAGCATGGCTAAACTTTCAGGGGAAGAATTTGATAAGGATTTTTTGATTTTATCACCTTTTTCATTCCAATTTTAACCTATGGAGGGTCACATTTCCACATTGTAGATGTCTTGGAGGGATGGATTTTTTTGTGATTCTGCCTGACCAATATATGTATATATATTGACTCTTGTTAGGGGGAAGGGGGGGGGGGGGGTGTTAGACACCATTTCTTAACATGTTAGATCATGGTTTTGGGATATATAGGGTATATTTTTCTTATGACATGTTTAAACTTACAGTTTGCTTTTCTTGCTGGGTTTCTTTAAAGTTTTTAGTCTCATCCCTTTGGCGCTTGTGCTTAGATATTTACTTAGTACATTCAGATATCATTGAAATATGCTGTCTTTGCCAGAAAAGATTTCTGCATCCAAAGGGAAGCTAGCAAGTACCAATTTGAGCCATGTATAGTATTCTTCTGATCATGTCAAATTTTGCTTCAAATTACATGCGAATTTAAAGTTCTTCAGTCAAGAACTGCTTTTATAAAAGTTTCTAATAAGGTATTGTTAAACCCTGGTTAAAATCCATTTCATATTAACCTTAAACTGTTGATACATAGTAGTAGAGGGCATGTTATCTGTATGATAGTACTTAATTGGAATGAATTAATTTTAGAACAAAGCAATTTTCTATGGATGCTCATGTAAAGCAAATTAAGAAGTGGTTTTTGTTGACTATTGACCAAATATCTGAGTTTGTATGGATGGTATTAAGGTGGCCTCCCAATTATAAAGTTTGAACTTTGATAAATTCCTTGATGTTTTATTTTCAGACCCTAAGTGACATCAGTTTCTCAGTTGAGAATAAACAGATCCATGTCCATAAATCCATTTTGAAGATAAGATGTGAGCATTTTAGGTCAATGTTCCAGTCCCATTGGGGAGAGGATTGTAAAGAGTGAGTATATAGAATAATATTATGAAATATGAAGATAAGATGTGAGCACTTCAGGTCAATGTTCCAGTCCCATTGGGGAGAGGATTGTAAAGAGTGAGTATATAGAATAATATTATGAAATATGAAGATGTGAGCACTTTAGGTCAAAGTTCCAATCCCATTGGGGAGAGGATTGTAAAGAGTAAGTATATAGAATAATATTATGGAATATGAAGATAAGATGTGAGCACTTTAGGTAAATGTTCCAGTCCCATTGGGGATAGGATTGTAAAGAGTGAGTATATAGAATAATATAATGAAATATGAAGATAAGATGTGAGCACTTTAGGTCAATGTTCCAGTCCCATTGGGGAGAGGATTGCAAAGAGTGAGTATATAGAATAATATTATGAAATACGAAGATAAGATTTGAGCACTTTAGGTCAATGTTCCAGTCCCATTGGGGAGAAGATTGTAAAGAGTGAGTATATAGAATAATATTATGGAATATGAAGATGTGAGCACTTTAGGTCAATGTTCCAGTCCCATTGGGGAAAATACTGTAAAGAGTGAGTATATAGAATAATATTATGGAATATGAAGATAAGATGTGAGCACTTTAGGTAAATGTTCCAGTCCCATTGGGGATAGGATTGTAAAGAGTGAGTATATAGAATAATATAATGAAATATGAAGATAAGATGTGAGCACTTTAGGTCAATGTTCCAGTCCCATTGGGGAGAGGATTGTAAAGAGTGAGTATATAAAATATAATATTATGAAAATGAACATAAGATGTGATTTATATTTACAGCACCATTGAGATCACCCAGTTTTCCTATGTAGTATACAGGGCATTCTTGCAGTACTTATACACTGACAAAGTAAACCTCTCTCCTGAAGATGCCATAGGTGAGTCCAAATATTATGTCTTATTAAAATCGTTGCAAAGATTAGGGAAACAAAACCATACTAATTTCCCCTCATAAGATGTGGAAGTTATTGAAGGTTTCAGAAGCCCCAAAAATTATTTCAGTTCACAAAGAGAACATCCACTTTTCAAATATGATTGTAACTTAAATATCAAATAATTTTCATAAAAGACATATTTTTGACTTATAGTCACAAATGAATGTGCCAAAAATATCATGAAATTGAGTATTTAAGTAATTGGTCTCACCTCATTTGTACTCTGTTGGAACTGTATTTTTTAAAATACAAAATAGATATGTAAAAGGTAAATGAAGAATTGTTATTCAATTTTTCATAAAAATGCAACATATTTCTCAAATCTCTCTGTGATGTCCAGTCAATGTGATATAGCGATGCTTAAAGTAGTTTCCCTTCCATACCATTTCTCTCATGATATGGAAAGTAAATACAGGGAGAAAGCTACCATAAGGAGAGATATTATTTCTCATGTTTTACATATTCCAGGTCTCCTAGATTTAGCCAACTCATACTGTGAGGTTGAACTGAAGCACCAATGTGAGAAGATCATAAAACAAGGCATAAGTGTGGAAAATGCTGCAATGTTATACTAGTGATATGCCATTAACTATATTGTACTTCACATATTCACATATTTTTTTTTTTTATTTATTTATTAATTATCCTCATTCATTACATAACATTTACAAAATCTTCAATCGCCAAATACATGCATGGCATTATAGAAGAATTGATGGAACTTGATGAAATATAATATAAGGAGCAATGTTAACAGTAGTTTTGGGGTTGTGTGTGGGGGGGGGGTGCTTGGCGTGGGAAACATAAGGAGAGATATTATTTCTCATGTTTTACATATTCCAGGTCTCCTAGATTTAGCCAACTCATACTGTGAGGTTGAACTGAAGCACCAATGTGAGAAGATCATAAAACAAGGCATAAGTGTGGAAAATGCTGCAATGTTATACTAGTGATATGCCATTAACTATATTGTACTTCACATATTCACATATTCTAGGTCTCCTAGATTTAGCCAACTCATACTGTGAGGTTGAACTGAAGCACCAATGTGAGAAGATCATAAAACAAGGCATAAGTGTGGAAAATGCTGCAATGTTGTACTAGTGATATGCCATTAACTATATTGTACTTCACATGTTCCAGGTCTCCTAGATCTAGCCAACTCATACTGTGAGATTGAACTTAAGCATCAATGTGAGAAGATCATAAAACAAGGCATAAGTGTGGAAAATGCTGCAATGTTATAATAGTGATATGCCATTAACTATATTGTAATCACATATTCTAGGTCTCCTAGATCTGGCCAACTCGTACTGTGAGGTTGAACTTAAGCACCAATGTGAGAAGATCATAAAACAAGGCATAAGTGTAGAAAACATTGCAATGTTATAATAGTGATATGCCATTAACTATATTGTACTTCACATGTTCCAGGTCTCCTAGATCTAGCCAACTCATACTGTGAAATTGAACTTAAGCACCAATGTGAGAAGATCATAAAACAAGGCATAAGTGTGGAAAATGCTGCAATGTTGTACTAGTGATATGCCATTAACTATATTGTACTTCACATATTCACATGTTCCAGGTCTCCTAGATCTAGCCAACTCATACTGTGAAATTGAACTTAAGCACCAATGTGAGAAGATCATAAAACAAGGCATGCAATGTTATAATAGTGATATGCCATTAACTATATATTGTACTTCACATATTCTAGGTCTCCTAGATCTAGCCAACTCATACTGTGAAATTGAACTTAAGCACCAATGTGAGAAGATCATAAAACAAGGCATGCAATGTTATAATAGTGATATGCCATTAACTATATATTGTACTTAACATATTCTAGGTCTCCTAGATTTAGCAAACTCATACTGTGAAATTGAACTTCAACACCAATGTGAGAAGATCATAAAACAAGGCATAAGTGTGGAAAATGCTGCAATATTATAATAGTGATATGCCATTAACTATATTGTACTTCACATATTCTAGGTCTCCTAGATCTGGCCAACTCATACTGTGAGATTGAACTTAAGCACCAATGTGAGAAGATCATAAAACAAGGCATAAGTGTAGAAAACATTGCAATGTTATAATAGTGATATGCCATTAACTATATTGTACTTCACATGTTCCAGGTCTCCTAGATCTAGCCAACTCATACTGTGAAATTGAACTTAAGCACCAATGTGAGAAGATCATAAAACAAGGCATGCAATGTTATAATAGTGATATGCCATTAACTATATATTGTACTTAACATATTCTAGGTCTCCTAGATCTAGCCAACTCATACTGTGAGATTGAACTTAAGCATCAATGTGAGAAGATCATAAAACAAGGCATCAGTGTAGAAAATGCTGCAATGTTATAATAGTGATATGCCATTAACTATGTATTGTAATCACATATTCTAGGTCTCCTAGATCTGGCCAACTCATACTGTGAGATTGAACTTAAGCACCAATGTGAGAAGATCATAAAACAAGGCATAAGTGTGGAAAATGCCGCAATGTTGTATGCTGCTGCAGTGAAATATGAGGCAGAGGTAAGTAAAAGGAGCAGGTGCTCAATATTTAAATGTTTTTCAAAATATATAACATTTCAGAATGACCCATGAAAAAATTAAATACTCTTAAATTTAAGTCAATTAATTATTAGATCAAAATTTATTTCTTTTCAAGAAGTACTATATTTGGCAGTAATTATCAGTACATATTAAAGTTGAGTAAGCACAGCTGATTAAAATTAGATCATCAAATATTCATCTTTATTTTTAGAGTCTCCAAGAATTCTGCTTTAAGTTCTCACTGAACCACATGACAGCAATAACACAGACTGAGGCTTTCTGCAAATTGGATGAAATAACAGTGAAAGACTTCATCACAAAGGCTGCGCAGGCAGGAGCCTTTAAATATTAGCACTTGAGTGTACTTAAGTAATGACAGTTCCAGACTGAGACCATATAGAGTCTTTAAATATTGACAGTTCAGTTCCCAGGATGGAGCCTTTAAATACTATACTAGCAGTTATATGTACTGTGATAATGGCAGTTTTGAATTACCCAAATGCGAGTAGGCAGTTACCAGTTTCACCACCAGGTGGCTGATTCGGGTCAATTAACATGGCAGGTATATAAGAAAGTTCCCTTAAACTTGAATATTATTAATTTAAGTGGCTCAATTTTCATATAACCCTTATGTGTCTGATACTTATACTAATGAAAATATGTCCAGTAAAGCAAAATATTATCTGTCCACTCAAAGAAAAGATATTTCATTTTTTGTGGTTTTATAGCATGGGGTCTATGGGGAATCTCCCCGAGCTAGAAGTCACATTTTCAAAGAAAATTAATTTTTCAAAGTTGATAAACACTTTTTAAAACCACATTTCTAGATGTAATTTTACATGTAGATTTCAAATATGATATTACTTTGACTGAATTTTGAATTTTTAATGACGTAAATCAAGATTATTTCTACTCGCATGCGGGTTATTGAGACTGCATGGAGCCTTTAAGTATTGCCAGTTTAGTTCCTAAGTCGGAGCCTTATATATATTAGCATTTGGACGTACTTTAGTAATGGTAGTTCAGAATAGAGGCTGGAGCCTTTAATATTGCCAGTTGATTTCCCAGTCCAAACCTTTTAAACATAAGCTTCTCTTACTGTAATAATGGCATTTGGGAAAAAGGCTGGAGCCTTTAGTACCAATAGTTGAGTTCACAGGCAGGAGCCTTTAAATATTGACCTTCGAGTTCAGTGCTTTGTATGATGATATAACAATGCACAATGTTTGTGTTGTTTCCAGACCTTTGCATGAATGCGGCAGGCAAATGCTACCCTCTAGGAAAACAGAACATGAGTGGATTAATTCATCCACAATTCACTTAAGTCATGTGCTTGATTTATTTTAACAAATGTTTAAGATTTAACTTTTCTTCAAGGGTTAACCGGGTATTCATTTCATATCCATTTGACATTCATTCAACACTAGCCATTTGACCTGCATAAGCACCTGGTGCTTGTTATTCCCTATGATACGATCTATAGATTTTCACTTAATTATGAAATTGGTGTACTTAGTTTCACAAGAATCTAAAAATAGCTTGGGTGTATAAGAATTGATGCGTGGTTGATTATTTCATGCATTGCAATAATATGAATTACTGTGGTCTGATTGGCTTGAATTGGACACACCTTGCCTAGAAATGTGTCAATAAATATGAGCAACAACAAAACTGTTATTCATTTTGTGCATGCCATTTTCTGATTGAACTGATTGCTGAATCCGTTTGATTGCACATGAATTTCTCCACTGACTAAATTCAACTAAATTCGCTAAATTGAATAGTAATTCTGTGATTTGAAAAAGTTAAAATATTTTATCAGTTAAATGTTTTTTGCTCTATTTTAAGTAAATTACTTTAAAATCCACCACATATTTCCAATGCTCAAACTGATCTAACTTTGGATGATGTTGTACAATTTCCGAGAACACATTCTCAATTTTTCAGTTACATTCTCAACTAACTCCCAATGTCATATTTGTTATAGGCCATTCAAATTTTAGGCTTAAAGTTGAATATACAGGGGATTTTATTCAATTTGTTTTGGTGAGATCTTAGGCCTAAGGTTTAACATTTTGAATTAAGACTTATTATACATTTTTACGGAGGCATAACCAAAGGTGTTTTTTCGGATTTTGCAATGAGAAGACCTGAGGCCTAATTAATTGGTTAGAAAATTAGATGGCATCAGTGCTTGACAGTTAATCAAATCCGCTGAGATAGTAGAGATTTCGCTCATAAGTGAAAGCACGACTTATTTATATTTATGCACATAGCTATAAGATGGAAATTTGGATCATCGAGGATCATAATTCGACACGTTCACTTACAAGTTAAAAAACGTGTATCTATCCCTATTTTTTGTTGCAGTCCACGTCTGCTGTACTCACGATGCCTCATATTCAATAGCAAGAATTGCAATTGCACTCTATAATATACATACAATACCAAATACCATTATAATATGGATTAAGATAATCTGCCCTATTTATAATAAAATGTATAGTATGCTTAATCTAAAACCATTTTATGTGTACAGGAATATAGCGATCCATAAGCGCCTTACCTACAACACGCAAAATATGGCGAGGCGAAAAGTACTGTTAGCATTTGCATCAGTAATGATTATATTATTGGTTGTATACGGGTTCATCATTAAATTTAAACATATAGCAGAGATTGATATCATGTCTAAGTTGCCTATATATCAGAAGGATAGGGATACGTTCAACCAAATAAAGAACGATGATGTGGTCAATCGGGAACCAACAATAACCCCTTCAAAGGAAATAGCTACGCCGTTATTAACATCAGGCAGTGCACGGAAAAGTCGGAAAAATCCTAAACAGTTGTTATTCAGTTATATTCCGAAAGCTGGAAGTTCAGAAATACAAACTATATTAAGTATAGTAGTTGGAGGAGAAATCGAGATCTTTGGAGGGAGCGAATATATTAGCCGATACCAAGCTAACAAAACTACATTTTTTAAGAATAATTTCTTTCTTCAAAATGAAAGACAGCAACTGAAACCGGATATGAAATCTTCCTTTTTCGTCGTAGGGCATGTGCAAGCCCCGTGTAATTATCTACTTTCGTCTTGGACATATGGCTCAGATGGGAATGGCAATGTTTACAAGATGGCGAAGGATAAGAGTGTGTATGGGGTGACACCTCCTTATAATAACAAAGAAGACCTAAACAGACTCACCATGTGGTTACAAGATAATAAAAACATGTATACCAATAGGCTTACTTACAAATATTTCAAAACGGCCAAGTGGAAAACAGACATGAATTTGCGAAGCGCAGATTGCTGGATTCACACCGAAATGTTGATCTATGACTTGGTGAATTGCTTGAAACGATATGAAAAACAAGGGGGAAATGTAAAATGGGAAAACTTTCGGAAGATAAAGACGAAGATAGAGAATCCTAGTAATCATTCACAGTGTGGGGACTACTTTGACGATGAGAGAACGGCGTTGGTTATGGATTCCAATATGAAGATGGCAAAGATTTTTCGATATGAGAGCTGTTGTGTTGAAAGTAATACAACATTACCTGCAGGTTTTGAAGAGCTTTGGACCAATCATAATTAAGATATAGAAGTCCAAAAAATTATATTGTGGAACAGAAGTTTCGAACGTTTTATAAGACTCGTGGTATCTTAATTTACAGGGTGGTAACAAAATGAAAACCCTAATACCATTTTCCTCATATCATTGTCATTTTAAAAGATAACTCCCTGATATTTTACACTTTTGTACATCATTTAATTTGCTACCAGCCTATTTTATTTCATGACCATCAGATTGATAGTCACAATGTTTAAAGAACATGCCCAGTGGCAACTATTGCGTTGTGGGGAAACCTGTACTCACCGTCTAAAATGTCTCTACCTGTTCGAATACGGCAAATATAGAGTGTGTGACAATGACATCAGGACAATTGCAAACCTCAAAAGTGAGATCATTCGTGTCATTCAGGCGATACCTGCTGAGGACTGCATTCGGGTAATTGATAACTGGGCTGTTTTGCCTACAGCGCGATGACGGCCAAATCTGAAGCATGTTATTTAAAGTGCTGTAAAATTGTGACTATCAGTCTGATGGTCATGAAATATGGTAGGGTGGTAGGAAATAGAATGATGTACAAATGTGTGAATTTTTTTACTGTGACAAATATATAAGGAAAATGCAGGGTTTCCATTTTTTGACCACCCTGTTTATATTAGGCTAAGTTCAGAAGAACATCATATTGTTATGTACAGCAGAGGTTTTGAACCCATCGAACCCCCTACACAATGTAAATGTGACATGTACATTATGATTATATACTGTTAGTCGCCTATAGCAGACACCTCTCAATTTATATCGCATATATTTCCGTACAGATAAACAGTAAAAATGCCATGACATTTCAGAAATTACATGTTTCATAAATAACTTACAATTACTGATCAAATCCAACCGAATTTGAATTCTTATTTTAATGTTCATCGGTTTTAAGAAATGTATTACAATTCATTGTATCAGTACGTTACTGTTGAATTTAAAAAGAAATCAAGTGCAAGTATTTTGATGAATAAATTATACAATTGCAAACATCTTGAAACATTTACTCCAAAATATTGTTAGCTTCCCATTGTATTTGTATTGTAATGTGTTTTATTGTATTGTATCGTATTGTATTGTATTGTACATTGGAAATAACCCCTAAGCTATGTCACTCTCATATCCCATCCATTTTTAGGTCAGTGAAGCATGCCAAAATCTCAAATAATCCAGGCATCTCCAGAGATCGTTTTTCGAAGGCTTTGATGATTTTGCTTTCATCTTTACTTGAAAAACCGTTTTTACGGTAACCATGGTAACTATAAGGCGTTGGTAACCTTGACAACCTGATATTTGAAGGATATCCACCTATTGGTAGTTGGATCTTTTTGGCAAAAATAATATCTTCTACTCAAATTTTGTGCATAAACGTGCATCTAGTTGAGCTAGTCATCTGAAAATCTCATGGAGTTGCTCCGTGACGCCTAGTTTTGATGTGCTAAATAACAAGTCAGATATCATGTAGAGAAACAAGTTATGCAGTATTATGTGTCTGTTAAAGCTAAGGAGGGGAGAATATATTTATTGGACACCCTGTACATGTAAATGGATATCCCTGCCATGTTAGGTATGGCAAGTGATTTTAGACGATCATATATTTCACCATGAGTACTTCTGGCCATAAATACAATGGATTTTATTAAAACAATATATTTTCTTTCAAGTGAAGTCCCCACGAAAATAAAAATATCAACCCAACTCTCTGAAGAAGAAGTATGCACTAGGACCCTACCTTGACACTTTTTTAAGACGTTAGGCTTATTTTCTAAAAAGGATCTTGTTTTTCTCAATTTAAACATATCCAAAATTTCTTCTTCACTTTATTAACAATTCCTGAAAGGGGGTGGGGTTTGAATTGAGTTAAAGTTAAAAGCCACATACCCCATGATATTTTCCCATAGGGAAAACACATGCCATTCATTGTTTTCAGCATAATTTTTGTCATCGAAAATTGATTTTTAAACCATTCAACTTGACTTTTAAACCATTCTACTTCTGAAGAGGTTTCAGACCCCTTGTTGAATAATTTTTTCATGCAATAAAAATTAGAAAAAATATCCTCTTTTGAGTAAATAGGTTCAATATTTTGGAAAAATTGTTGACATACTGAAATTGCTGAAAACATATTTTTTTTGTTTGTTTAATTTCAAAAGTATGGAATCATTGAGATGACACTAACGATCTATTGAATCATTGGTTATTTCGCTGTGTTTGGCATAATGCTGATAAATTATTTATGAGTGGCACGAATGGCATGTCATCATGGGGGTTTATTTTCTAGGCCTCTCTCATATAAACGGCATCGTGATTATTTGCATTAGAGTTGTATCTGATGATGAACAGATCTTCAATAGCGTATCATGGCGAAACTTGATGACTTGATAAAAACATGCAAGATACTATTTGCATTTATACCTTTTGTCTTAACGGACATTACGACCTTCAATGGAAAGACCTTCATCAGAGAAAAGAAGACCGTCTTTATATCCGATAACAATTTAGGTCACCTGGGAACTCTCGAAATAGGTTCGCACTCAGAATGTGTCATTGCCTGTCTAAATACAAAGCGATGCGGACATACAAACGTAAAGCAAATGACCAAAATGAAGTTCAAATGTGATTTGCTTGAATGGGTAATAGGTGAAAAAGTGCACGTGGATGATACTGACCATTATTACGTCAGGGAACGTGAGTTGATCATAAATACTACTTTATATTGGAGGATAGTTTTCATTAATAATGATAAACTTTTTTGGAAGTTTAGTACATCTAATTCAAATTTATTGGAGACAGTGCAGATGCTTACACTCCAAACAATCGTTTCTCTGATAATTTCTCCGCATTAATTCGCAATTAACAAAGGTTTGTTTCAATACTAAAATCCACGAGAGTCAACTTAGTTTCTTATGCCTGGGTCAGTTTTGCTCCGATCCATCGGCCGGCACCCGGCCGATTGAATGTTTTGTTCAATATTGTATTCAATTTTGATCAAAATACTCAATCGGCCGGGCGCCGTAGCGGAAATCAGAGCAAATGTGACCCAGACATAAAACGATTATCACTTGATCACAAAGTAAAAATATGTTCCCTAATAATTTGTTAATTCCAAAACAGATAGAGACGCTATGTTCAAATTTATATACTGGTGGCTATTGGACATCTGCTGAAAATATTTTTCGAAATCCAAAGTTGAATCACTTTTATAAAAAAATGTAATTTTAGTTATCGAATTTTATAGGGTATAATAATTGTAATGGGTCAAAATAAGATATCTTCTCAATAAGTAGTTTCTATTATGGGTTACACAATCCAAAGTACACTTTCCGAATACTTTCACTATTTTGCCTTCTGTTGCTGTTCGTCATTCCGCTCAGTCAGTGCTTTCTAATTATTCCTATCAATGGATGTATTCTGGTCCATACATTTTGCAATCAGTGGCATACACGAGTATTTCAATGATATTTAATTTTTATTGTATTTCCTATTTCAATTTCATTAACTAGTATATGCAAGTATATGTAATATGCTTTGTCAATTTAGCGCCAAACCTCAATACACGTTAATGTTTATTATAAAAGTATTTTTGTTTTTAATGATCGACGACATGCTTTGCAGAAGAAATGATCAGAATTTCAATATAAGCATGTCATTTTTAATAAGATTTTGGGTTTGATTGCGTGCATCAATTTGATTTCAGAATGGAATCTAAGTAGCATTGAGTATTGAGGGGTGACATTAAATCAATGTGAATTCTTTTTCGGGGGAGGGGTGTCAGAGGGGGATGTGGTCGCACTAAGCGCCCCCCCCCCCCAACTGACGGTCCTGTTAAAACGTAGAAATGAAATATGATTCTAAAACAATTTGCTAAGAAGTGCAATCTTTACACAAAATTTCAGCGAAGTTGACCAGCGAATTGAGAGTTTAAGCTTGCATGAAAAATCGAAACGCCAACCTTTACGTATGACCAATCGCCCATACAAATGCATCGCTTAAATATTTTCCGTTCGCGTTTAGGTTGTGAAAAACATTGCAAGCTTAAACTCCCTATTGTCTATCAACTCAATATCCTATTCTCCCCTCATTCAATGGGCTTGTATCAAATCTAGACTATTGAGTATTAACAGTATATTACCAAAAGAATAGCTGAATTTCATGAATCCCATACATAACGTACTAATTGTACTTTTACAACATACATTTTTGAATGCTTCGAGAAACACGCCTGCTTACGAGTCTTATTATATCGTTTGCCAATTAAATAGCACTCAAGAGATTCTAAAAATGTTTACTGTTTGTCACTCGTTTTAAAGGCTTACACAAAGATTCCCGTATGAAAAACAAAATGAAGAGTTTGAAAATTATAAAGTTTATTGAAACTGCCTTTCTCATGATCAATCCCCCCCTAGACTTCCACAAACGCGATCATCAGTTCAGACCTCACGAACTGTGTTCCTTCCGGCCGAACCACGGTTCTAACAACGCGAATATCGATTCTTTAGTCGCTATCTACAAGTTCCCTCCTCCCAAACATATTTCTCCACTATGGCACCGAATTCCCACATCGCGAACCACACAGCTTTATGGTTCGCAATGTTGGATCTCCGTTCGTGAGAGGAGAAATATGTTCGGGAAAGAGGAATTGGTGGTTCGCGACTAGAGACTCGATAATCGCACTGTGAGAAGCGTGTTTTGGTATGAATTGGTGACTTTGGTTTTAACATGTGGCGTTGGCTTATATTCACCCTACAGCTACAATGATCCATCTAAGATGTTTCTACAATGCGTGTTTTCTATTCTAGCATGCGGCGTGGGCTTATATTCACCCTACAGCTACAATGGATCCAGCTATTGTTTCTACAATGCGTGTTTTTGATTCTAGCTTGCGGCGTGGGGTTATATGAACCCTGTAGCTACAATAGCGCCATCTATTGATCCTACAATGTGTGTTTTTGATTCTAGCATGCGGCGTGGGGTTATATTCACCCTACACCTACAATGGCTCCACCTATTGTTTCTACCCGGGACCTTTGAGCTGGACGGATGCTGAGCTGAAGTGTCAGGAAAATGGCGCATACTTGGCTGCCATTGAAACCGAAGAAGAACAACATGCTCTAAGGGGCTACCTGCGCAGACACGGCATGGGTATGGTACACAACAAGACTCGTTTTACTTTTTTTACTCACAAGAAAATGTCAGCATTCGACAGGCACAAATTTAAATTAGCTTTGATATGACGATGACTAGTTTAGACAAAGCTTTCGCTCAAGATTCACTTCATAGTAAGGTTCTCAACAGTTGTTTAAGTCTAAAAGCGCTCATTATCAACATACAACATTGACGACCGAATGAGTAAATCGGTAAAAACTTTCGACCTTGTTCAAATATAAACAAGACGGCCACAAACACTATCTTACAGCGAGGAGATTGAAATCAAAGCACTGAAAGTTAATTGTCTATCAATCAGTAAACAAGTTTATGTAGTCACATGAGTTGCACAGGGAGATATACCGAGTACTAAAATAGTGCTCTACCCTTTGCATTCGTTTGACTTCACTTCTGTAGTTTAACTAGACTCTGCACGCAGGGTAATAGTGCTCAGGGCCGTAGCCAGGATTTGCCAAGGGGGTTCACTTTTTGAAAAATTCCAGGGGGGTTCACTTGTGACAATTTTGGTCCAAAAATGGCCAAAATCAATTCTGTGAAAACCTACATGATTTTGAAATAATTTTTGGCCAGGGGGGGGGGCTTGCTCAAACACATCGAACCCCCCTGGCTACGGGCCTGGCACTTATGCCATGAGTACTGATTTATTGCGTGTTTTAATACTAAATGAGTACTCATATCATGAGGGATGCAGTAGCACTAATTTCATTGATTTTTCATTACTCATTGAGTACTAATCTATTGCACATGTATCATGAGTGATAAAGTAGAACTCCAAAATTAAAATGTTCATAGACTTTTTTAATTGATGAAGTAAAATACAGAATACGTACTAAATTACATTTTTATTATACGAAAACATGGATAAATATATAATTAGATTTTTCAAAAAATTCCCAGTCCTGGAGATGTTTATACTGAAGATATCGTTACTAAAACGGTACTAGAATAAACCCCCTTTTTCACTCAATTAGGTTATTTATCCATGTTTTCATGATTCATATATTGGTGGGAATTTATATTACGTTTAAAAGTGAAGTACACATATAATCTGTAGGTGAAGACCATGAATCGAATCCTGTCTTACGAGTTATGAACCACTCGGTCAACTAGTAACGTAATCCCAAACTTCATACTCCGGTCCTGTGTCAAAATCCAACCCGCTGTGTGTCCCAACCATTTCAGCATTTATCAGAAATGAAAACCCGAAAGGTGCATGACTGAAACTTTGATACAACGTTTTCATCCCGGGGTTTTCCTACACTCCCCTCCATAAGTTTGGCAACCTTTTTTCCCCATTGAACTACGTGTTAAAGCCTCTTTACGTTTGAATTTTTATTTACTTCACCGGCGATGAAATAACTTATAATATTGATGGAAACGTAATTTGACTTTATTTCCAATACCTCCAAATTTTCTCAATTTTTTTTCTCAATTACAATAGGTCGAAAATTGATGATAAATTTGATGAATTTTTGAAAATCGTCATTCCCATGTAATCCAATGGGAAATGGAGGGTTCGGGGCAAATCAGAAATCAGGATATCTTTTCAGAAAAAGATTCAGCAAAAAATATTTTTATATAGAAAATTGAATTGTCTAACTTTTTTGAACACTAAGTGATACGTTTATTTGATGAATATTAAAGTTACAGCGCTTCAAAGTCATTTTTGAAAATAATTTTTCGCCTCCTGTGTTATTTCAATGGGAGAGGTTTTTTGAAAAACAATTTTGAAGAAACATATCAATTTTTTGTTAAATAAAGTTAGCAAATTCAATTGCCTGCCTAACTTGTATTTCTTTGCAAGGACTCGGATGGATGGATTTTCTGTCATATGACTTGCGGCAAACCTACCATTTCCCATTGGTTAACATGGAAATGTCGATTTTCCAAAATTCATCAAATTTATCATCAATTTTCGACCTATTGTAATTGAGGAAAAAAATTGAGAAAATTTGGAGGTATTGGAATTAAAGTCAAATTACGTTACCATCAATAGTACAAGTATTTTCATCGCAGGTTAAGTAAATAAAAATTCAAAGGTAAAGAGGCTTTAACACGTAGTTCAATGGGGGAAAAAGGTTGCCAAACTTATGGAGGGGAGTGTACCTTTAATCAAACTGCCGATATTTGTTTTAAGGTATGATGCACATTGGCCTCAAACGAGACGTTGGCACTGGCCTCTATCATTGGAGTGGGTCAACGGATACAGCAACATACTTCTCTTGGGGACATTCAGACCCTCATGAGGGTAATGAGAAATGTGTCATAATGATCACTAGATTAAACTATGACTACAACTGGGCCGATTTTGTATGCTCTAAACAAACTGGTTTCAT